AAGATTTTGGAAAGAGCCCTGTGCAGAGGGAGTGGGAGATGGCAGAGGGCACCTAGGAGGACAGAACCGAGGAGGAGCCAGTGAGGTCCAGAGACAACTGAGGCTGAGCAATGACGATGAAGAAGGGGATGCTTCAGACACATGTAGGAAGCAAAACCATGAGGAACTGAAGACGGGTGGTGAACTGGGACCTGCCAAACCCTGGACCAAGGCAGGAATCATGCCACAGCTGAACACACATGAAAGTAAAGCTCTGCACACCGGCACAAAAGCCACTGCCCAAGGCGGGGTCGCCAGTGCACGTGGCCTCTGAGCTGTGAGCTCAGGCCGAAGGCCACCACACACTGAGGGGCCTTCCGAGTGCATCATGGGCCCAGGCGGGCAGGACAGAGCGGGAGGGCCGGCACTACGCTCCGGGGCGCGGCTCCCCAGTAACTGACTCGGTGCTGGGGTCACTGCCGAGGGGCACTGGAGAGCTCAGGGAGGCAGTGGCCGCGCAGCAAGGACCTGGGGAGCTCACCCCTCAGGGTGGCTGTGGGAACCCAGGTGGCAGTCCCTGGAGGAGAAAGCAGTCTCTAAACGGGTGTCTCGGCTGAGGGCGCCCCCCTGCACGGACGCCCCGGCCGGGGGAGGGGTGCGGGCGGCCAGGCCCTGCAGTCTGAGGAGCAGCTTTCTCACGGCAGAGCGGGTGAGGGCGGGCGCATCACGCTCCCATTCCCAGAGGAAGGTGAGCTGAGGCCACACAGACTCTTGGCAGGGAGTCACAGATGGGGTTCTCATGCCAGCTGAAGTCCCTTCTAGTCCCCAAATTCTAGGATCTGAAGATCTCTCAAAAGATCCAGGATCAGCCACCTCATTCCCAAGCCTGTTTGGCGTCTCACAGCCACAGAGCCTCCCACACCCATGGGCGCCCCGCGCTGCTGTGAGGCGGCCACGCAGGCGCCGCGCCCCCTCACGGAAGGGCACACCGAAGCCGCAAGTCCCAGAGCCTGGGGCGCAGGCCTCCGCCTCCCGGCCGGCTCAGCCTGCCTGGCCTGCCCTCACTGCCCTGGCCGGGGACATGGCAGGCCACGGCGAAGAATCCCCTCCACAGAGCTGGGCACTGGGGTTCCTCAGCCAGGTTCCAAGCCCAGCACCGTCATTTGCTGCCTGTGCGGCCCCACGCGACTCTCTTAAGCTCTGGGCCGCACAGCCGCCCTGTGAGAAGGCTGGCGCTGCTCCTCCCTGACCGCTAGCGGAGCCAGGCCGCACGGCGGGCGGGCGGGCAGGGGCTTGAAGCGAGAAACACCACCACAGTCCCCGCCCTGGCTTGCGGCCGCGGCCCACATCACCAACAGCATCGTCCCATCAACTCGCTACCGCCTGAAAGGCCTGGCCTGGGCGTCTGGGCCCTGGTAGGCGACAGTCCAGCAGGGAAGCCTGGGCCTGCCATTTGTTAGCCACGTGCCTTTGGTCGGCCTGCCCAGATCTGTTTTTTCACCCATAAAATAGGAGTCACAGCTGCTCCGCCGGGCGCTGTGAGGTCTGGGAGGGTGAAGCGCACGAGGCGCGAAATGGGCACAAGTCATTTCTAGATTGTTCCGGGCACAAGTCGCCCTGTCGGGGCGGGACGGCAGGCTGAGGGTCTTTCCAGGAGCCGCAGCGCCGCGGAGCTAACCCCGAGCAGCAGCCCCTCTGCTTGGAGCCCTGGGGCGCGAGGCGTGGGGCGCCCCCTTGGTGGGCGCCGGGCTCACCTTGCGAGGCCAGCAGCTCCTCCACGACGCTCCCGGCCGCCGTCTCCTCGTCCCACGCGCCGGCCTCCACCACCTTGTAGCGGCTGCGCGGCTGGCTGAGCACGTGCGGGGCCCGCAGCGCCGCCTCCCGCTCGGCCGCCAGGTCCAGGTCCTGCTGCGCCAGGTGCGCGCGCAGCTGCCGGATCTCGAACTGCGGGCAGAAGGGACCGTCAGCCGCGGGGACCGTCCTCCGGGGCCGTCGGGCGAGAAGGCGCCCCCCAGAAACCTCCCGCGCACTACCCGCGCGGGCCTCGCGTTGCGGGCCCTTCCCCATTTTCCCAGCAACAAAGCCTGAGCGCGGGCTCCGGGCGCGCAGTGCGGTGGGGCGCGGCCGTGCCGGTCCCAGGGGCGCGCGACCAGACGAACCCATTTAGGCGCCGGGGACAGGAACGCGGGACGCAGGGCCCGCGCCGCCGGCGTTGTCTCCCGGCGACACCCACTTGCCCGCCGCGCGGGCGGGAGGCAGCGCCGGGCCTGGGGCGTGCGGGCCTGACTGCGGCCTGGGCCAGTCCCTGCTCCGCCGCGGGCCGCGGTCTCCTTAGCTGCGAAATGGGGCTTGCTTCATAAGGGCTTTGTGAGCACTGCGCACGTTTCCATTTGGGGGCACTCTTCGCTGGGGATTGCGTCGTGGAAAGGCCTCCAGACGCCTCGCGGGCGGCGGTCCGGGCCTGCGCCCGCACCCAGCGTCCCGGCGCGCGTCCCGCCCCGCCCGCCGCCAGCGCCCCGCCCAGGAGGTTGCCCCCTTACTTAAGACGCACATCTGGAGCCGGACCCCTCCCCGGAATGTCAGACCCCCCAGCTGCCTACGTGACGGCACCACGGAGTTGGTTTATGGGACCTGCAAACACAACTCCGTCAAAACAGGACTCCTCGCCTTCTCTCCAAACCTGCTTCGCAGGCGCTTTCTTCTCACTTTGGCTGCAGCCCAAAGCCGTAGCACCTCCCTGCTTCCTCTCTTTCCCTCACTCTAACATCCCATCTGCCCCCAAGTCCAGCCCCGCATCCAAGTCCTATCCCACTTCCCTCCACCTCCGCTGCCAGCTCCCACCCTGACAGCCAGAGCTTCCCTCTGCCGTGGGGCCCAACAGGAGTCACAGGGACTCTCAAACGCAAATCGAGCCCTGTCCACACACCTCAGTGGGTTACCACCTCACGTGGGACATGGCCCCAGCTCCTCTCCCTTGGCTTAGCAAGCAGGTGCACAATCTGGTCCTGCTCTCCCTGCCCTGAGACTCAAGCTTTCTCAGTTTTCCTTAAAGACACCCAGTGTGTGCTGGTCTCAGGGGCACTTTCCAGCTGCCCCTCGGTCCCAGATCACAGGGTGACTCCTCCTCAGAGGGCCCTTCCCTGGCTCCCCACCTAAGGCAACCCCTCAGGCACTCAGTTGCACCGACCTCTTTGAATTCTCCGCACCACACTCACCACTTTCTGATATTTTTGTGTATTATTTTAATGTTTTATTAATTTTATTTTTATGAAAGTAAAACACACACAGCTAAAAGCATTGACTAACACTAGGGTGGCCAGGCAGCAACCTGGCATTGGACAACCTCCCAGTGTCAGTGTTAACCTCCCAACGTGTGTGTCTCTGGGGCCATAGAGGTTTTCCAGAGAGTTCTTCAGCTTCCTGCCTGGTTCCCTCTGTACTGGGAGCAGGGCAGGGGAATAGGGCAGAGAGTTCCGTCTTTATAGGGAAAGACTTTCACTTAATCCTTATTTCCAGTTCAGCCCTGCACCTTTCCCCAGCCCCTGGCCCAGTGTCCATACACGGAGCTCTGGGGTCCAGTCTCTCCAGAGCACAAGCCTCTGGATGCTGGCAGGCTTGGTGCGCGGTCTCCTGGCTGTGCAGGATTTGGAAGTGGGCCTGGGGGTTTCAAATATTGCATGTGCAGACTTTTAGCCAACCCCCCCTTCCTATGTTCAGCTGCATACTACACCCCCTTCCTCCCAGACTCTTGGGGTTCCGAGGAGAGAGTTAGCCCGTTTCCTCCACCATCCTCCTCTGCAAGCACTTTAGTTATAAATTGCCCACTCTGCTATCAGTGACCACTTTCTCATCTAGTCTCTAAGTGTGAGAGAGTTGATTGAAATCTCTATCCTCTTTGTCCTGACAGATAAGACTTAAAGAGACAGTTTCTTAATTCTTATGCATTTAGGATTTTTGTCTAGTATTTGGGTGGAGTTTGGGAAAGATCAGATGACTGCCTGTGGTCTCCACTATTTTCTTGACAGCCTGCGTATCAGTTTACCTCTCCTTCACCCCCAGTGGTGTGCTGGCAAAAACAAAAAGAACAGGCAAGGCCTGATTTGTAGTGTATACTAATCTCTGTGGTGTAAATATTCCACCATGGCTGACTTCGAGCCACCAACAAGATGCTATGGGGAACTGAAAAGAAAAATGTGCACAGTAAGCTCTCATGGGCCAGGGATGGCTCCAGTGCACCACACACTTCTCCCCCAGCAGCACATAATCTCCGTAAAAGCAGGCCCTTGTCTCTTTTGTTGCCTGGTACACAAAAGTCACTCAGTAAATGTTGTTGAATAAATAAATGCATAAAACTATTTAGTTTTGTTCTGCTCTGTGGTCTCAAACTAAGCCATAACTGAGCCACAAGCCTAGGCCAAAGACTGAGCCCTGCTGCCAGCTATGCACTAATCCAGACCCTGGTCATGGACCCAGCCCTAATGCCAAGCTCAGACCTGGCTTGTACCCTGGACCTTGACAACCCAACACTCAAATGGGACTGATGGTCTTACAAGGTGAGAAAGTGAGGCTGGCTCATTATAGGGTGGCTTTTTGTGCGGGGGAAGGGTGTGAGCCACCCCTCTGGCAGCAATGTCTCAGAGGTCACTGAGGACCCGGGAAGCAACCCTCCCAAGCTCTGCTGGGCTGGGAGCCCCGCCCACCCAGGCTGATCTGAACCTCCCTTGGGCATGCCCAGCCACTTTCTCCAAGGCCACTCTTCTGTACCTCCAGGCCCAGCTAATGGCTTCTCGGGCCACTCGGAAGGGATGCATTATTGATGGCTGGTAATTGATACGGAGTTGCCCAAGAGCACCCCACTGGAATTCAGGCTAGATAGCCGGAGGCCAGGGCTTGCCCAGCCCCAAGCCCACGTGTGCAGACATAGGCGCATACAAAGAAATAAGTTTTAAAGTAAAGATATGAACTCCAAATGTGTGGTAGTTCTCCCATTTATTCATTCATTCACTCATGAGGAAGTCAGGTGAAGCATGGTAGGGGCCATGTTAAAATTCTGCTATATGTTTGGGCATGAAAATGAAAATTAGATAACAGCAAGGGGGGCTGGCTGCTGCACTACAGGGAAGAAGTCTCCTCTGAGAGGCTACCTGGGTGGTACCTGTGGCAGAGGTGTGCATGAGAGACAGAGGACTAGGGAAGTCAGCAGGAGCCAGCCCAGGCAGAGCCTTGTGACCATCATCAGGTGTTTTAACGTTGTCAGCCTTTATTTAAAGAGCAAAAGAAACCATTTAATGTTTCAAACAGAAGGATGGCGTGGTGGCAGTGGCAGTATGGTGATCCAGGCGAGCATTTTGACTGTGCTGACTGCAGGAGGGAGGATGGACTGGTTGGGGCCAGGTGGATGGGGAATACCAGCTGGGAGGCTACTGCAACAGTCCATGCCAGAGAGGACCAGGTACGGATTAGGGTGGAGACAGTGGAGATGGAGATAAGAGGATAAGAGATGTATTAGGAGGTGAAGTGTCAACACATGGCATGGATTGGAATGGGGGTGAGAAAAAGGGCAACCTGCTTTGAGGACAGATTTTGGCCAGCTTCATACCCATAGGGTGTGAGGTGCCTGGACACCCTCTGCGTCACCCTGAGAAGGAATGGCTAACTCCTTAGAGGGAAACTGCAGATGGGCCAAATGACTCTCAGCCCTGGCACCGGCTGTGACAGCCCAGGGGCTTCTCAGAAAGGGCCAGCGAAACCCTCGGAGCCCAGCTCCTGATTCCTCCCGTACTTAACACAGCCGCACATGCTTCCTTCAGTCGACTGGAGGGCTGTCAAGGGTGCTAGCACAGCAGGGTCTTATTAATTAGATGGCTGAACTGAGGCCTGGAGGTGGGAAGGAGCCTTCTGTGCTGGGTGAGGGGTGGGGAAGGATCAGACCACTTGGCATGTCAGAAGCAAAGCAGGGCCTGAGTCTGCGCCTCTGGCTTCCAGCCCCTAGGACCTTATGGCAGGGAACTTGCAGCCTTACGGGCCAGATGGAAGTGGCTCGGCCCCACAGAGCACAGGGCAGCTTGATGGCAGCAGGGCCAGGAGAGAGCAGGAGGAACACACAGGCTGGAGGCCCATCACCCTCCCTCACTCTGACTTTGGATAGGTCCCTTTTCCTCTGTGGGGCTCCGTTTCACTCTGTGTCCAGTAAGCCAAATGGAATTCTGAGTCTATGACGAGCTCTGTGCTGGCTCTGGGACCCTAGCTGGGAGGGAACAACGTACAGGTGCCCGTTCACACTTGGGGCTATCTTGAGGGCCATCCTCTGCTCCCTGCTAAAATGCCCATTTCCAGGGGACTGACTCTTTAGAGAAAGATAACATAATCCAGAATCTCTAAAATGTGTCATCAACAATGTGTAGCATATGATGAGAATTATGAGAATTATTAGTTATGCAAATAAGCAGGAAAAAGTGATCAATTATCAAGACATAAAGCAGTTAATAGCTGACCTATAAAAATATTTGAGTTGATAAATGTAAGGACTTCAAAATAACTTTAATTAATATGTCAAGAAAGGGGGAAAGATGGACAAAATGAATGTACTAATAGTGTTTCAGCGGATAGAACCTATGAAAGGAATCAAATCAAACTTTTAGAACCTTTAATATACAGTGTCTAAACTTGATGGGTTTAACAGCAGACTGGACATAGCAGAAATAGTGTTGTTAAACTCAAAGATAGATCTATAGAAAATGCCAAAACTTATAGCCAGAAAAAGAGAGACAGAGAGAGAGAGAATGAGAGAAGGAATGAGGGGGCAGATCAGGATGCTGGAGACAGGAGGCACTATCACTGTATGTGCACACTGGAGCTCCAGAGGAGAATGGAAGAATGAGACAAAAGCATAAATAAAGAAATCAAGGCCAAGAACTTTCTAAATCTAATGAAAACCATCAACTCCCAGAGTCAAGAAACTCAGAAACTCCTAAGCAGGATAACAAACAACCCCCTGCACGCAAGTAGGCACCCCAAAGTTGCGATGCAGAAGACAGTGGGGAGAAAGGCTGCAGCACTGGCCTCCGGGACGAGGCCTCTGGGAGAGAGGCTTTGATGGAGCAGACTTTTCACTGGCAAGCTGGCCCCATGGAAAAAATACCATCCCCAGGCGTGGGGAGAATTAAAGTGCATTCACAACCCCATTTAGTGCGAGTTGTGAGCTAAGTATTTCTAATCCGATGTCCTGACCAATCAGCTGGGACCCACAGGGAAGCCCTCAGCTGCATTACTGGAGTGAGTCAGGCCCCTTCCCTCAGGGCTGGGCTTTTAATGCATGCCCAGGCAGGGCAGCCACACCCAGCGCTTCTCTGCCTTTAATGGTCTGGTCATGGAGTCCAATTGACACAGGCCTTGGCCTGATCAATGCACACTTTGGCCAGAAGCTTGATGGATCTAATGCAATAGCAATAACTTTGCCCCATCCTATTAGTGCTGTCTGCACAGACTGCCCTGCCTTGAAACCCATCTGCTGTTGGGATGGCATCCAATGTTTATTTCCATTAGTCTTGCCATTGTTGGTAACAATAAAAATCAAGAGACAGTTGCAAACTAATGATTTAGGAGCAAGGTAAAGCTGAGATCGACCTTGGCTCCTTTCCATCCACTGTGAACAGGACTGGTAGTTGGCCATAAATTTAAATTATGGCAAAAGGATAACATAAGTTATTCTTCTGATGTCTAATTTTATCAGCTAAATAGGCTTGTCATTAAAGCTATCGGCTGTTTTACAAATCACCTCCCATGTTTAAAAAAACTTCACATCCCACAGTGGAGATCCGGAAGAATCCAGGTGACAAAAGCTATTGAGCTGAATAGGGGGCTTGTGGCCTCGCAGGAAGCAAAGGAATCTGGAATGAGCCAACCTCAAGCCCCAGAACCAGGGTGGGACCCTGTTCCTCTAGTTTCCTGCAATTCCTGCCCTTCAGCCCCTTCTCTGAGCTTCTACCCCTGTCTTAAATGGGAGTGCCCTCCGCAGAGCTGCCAGCGTTCTCTCTGGGTGCTGAGCGCCTGGGAGCAACTGGGTTCAGGGCAAGGCCCGCACGCGGAGACAGGCCCAGCTCCCAGCCAGGCGACCCACCACCTCCCAAGCCTGCCCTGGCTCCTGCACGTGAAAGAGAGGACACACGTGGTGACAAGCCCCTTCTCCCCATGCCTTCCTCCATCAGAAACGCCTATAGCTTGGAGGGCCAAGATTATCATCTTGTTTCTTCAGAAAGCAGGCCAGGGAGCCACGAGCCTCGGGAGGGCTCCGTAAGTGCGCCGGCCTCCTGCTACGAGGGGGTGGGAAGGGCAGTGGTGTTGAGAGCCCACCAGCCTTGTTTCACGGTGACCTCGGCAACCGTGTTCTCTTCTTCTTGGGCTCACAGACCACTTCTGACAGCACCTGCTGTCTTTAGGTGGACTGTGTGATGGAGTCCTGCCAACGAGTGGTGGACAGAAGCAAAGTCGCCACTTCTAGTCCTGGCCAATGAAAACCTGCAGTGCCTCAGTCTCCACTCTCCCTTTCTTATCCTCTGGCTGACTGGTTAAGACTCACAGTACTTAGAAGAAGAAGCCTGGAGGCCAAAGTGACTGTGTGGCACGGAGGGTGCCTCCACCCGATACCCGCCGCATTGCGCTGTGATGGGCGTGACAAATATTAATGTGTTCCTCTTGCGTTAGGCCACTACAATTTGTGGATTTGATGCAGCAGTTGGTGTTACTCACCCCAACTCATGTGACTGGTACAGATGCCCTATTTCTGGTGTGGGGAAACCGACACTGAAGCCCTGGGGTCCATTCCTAGCCCTTCTGTGACAAACTGCAGGCCGGGGGCAAGGAACAGCCTCTCGGAGCTCAGACTTCCCACCTGTGAAAGGACCTGGCCTATTGACTTTCACCGTCAAAGTCAAAATGAGCTAAAGCATGACTGTGCATTCGTGAATGATCACTACAATACAAATGTGTTTATTTTTATTCTCTCTCCCTCTCTCTTTTTCACACTTACTGTGAGCCTCCAGTGGGCTGGACTTTATATATTTTACTCCATTTAATTTGATCCTCACAGGATCCATGTGTGCCATTAGCTTCCTTGCCTCCATTTTCCAGTGAGAGCCGGGCTCAGGGACTGAGGGGAGACAGCTGGTTGCTGGTGGGGCTAGGGTTTGAGTCCAGCCGCGGCTCCCTGTGCGAGAGCGTTGTCTCCACCCCCAACACTGCCCACAAGCCACTCCTCTTCCAGGAGCTGGCGCTGCCCGAGCCCTAAGGCTGTCTGTCCTAAGCGGCTCCCAGGCTCCACTGGCCTCCTTGGAGGCTGGACCTCAAGTCACGCTAGAGTGAATCTCTGATTGCTCAGTATTTTGCCAACAATCTCAGGGTGAATGGTGCTAAGAATGAAGACTTAATTTCCCTCTGTGCTTCCTGTAGGACCCAGCAGAGAATAGAAACCAACTTTGACAGTGGACAAGGTCAGAGTGTACTGTTTTGTGCCAAAAGCTATTGTAAAGCTTAAAGCACAAAAGGAAGATATAACACGGACTTCAGAATATGTTTTGCAATTAGAGCAAGATCCTAGGCATAAGTATCTCAGAAGTGGTTTTGTGAGACGAGTCGGAAGAATGTATCATTGCACGGATTTAACCACTGCATCTGAAACAGCTTTGATTTCTGAAGCAGTTGGCACAAAGAGAGGGGCCAAAGCTCACACCGCTCCTCTAAAGGACACCCACTGGCATCCACCTCTGGAATCCATCGGGGTACCAGTGAGACTAACTCTTAAGAAAATTCTGCCCAGGATCCAGACAGAAAAAAAGGAAAGCAAATGGAAAGGATTTCCCAGATGAAGGGTGTTGGACCTGGGGGTCTGAGGCTGCAAGCGTCCATCGGGCAGGACGTGTGGGAGCGGCTGTAGCAGGCCAGCCAGGGCTTGGGAAGGGTGCGACTGACCGCCAGTGTCTTCCCTCCTCCCAGGACCCTCTGGGCTCCCTTCTGGGTAGGGTTCTTTTGAGAATGAGGTGTGCCCCATGGTCAGAAGAAATAGCAGCAGTGAGGAAGGCAGGGAATCCCATCTCCCGGTAGTAACCAGAGGCCAGTGTGGTCCAGGAGGGAGGCACTGAGAGAGCCCTGAGACTTCTGTCTTCATCCTCGGCCCCGACCGCCGTGCAGGGCTGGACACACCTGTCTGCTGCTCTGGGCCTCGGACCCCCATCTGCCAAGTCCTGGCAGCTGCAGCTGCTCTCAGAGGGACCTTCCACCTGTAATAAAGGTGGCTCTGGGTGAGGAAGGAGCTGCCTGGGGCACTGAAGATGAAGATATGAGGTGTCTGTCATCTGGGAGCCTCCACAGGGTCAGGGTGAGAAATAATTTAGTCTTTTTAAAAAAGCTAAGATGAAAAAGCAAGAGAGTAACTTCATAATGGAGAAAGCTGACGAACACTCCTTCAGCCAGGTGATGGAGGTCCACGTGGGCAGCGACAGGCCGTGCTGACAGTCAGCCTCCTGACGTGGCGTGACAGGCACTCTGCCTCTCCGGCCCTCTGCCCGGCGCCAGTGCCCCGGCTCCCACGAGAAAAGGACCAGGCTTTGCCCACACAGGACGCCCCGTACGATCCCTGAGCAGGGACCCTCAGGCCTGTCAAGGTCACCAACAGCCATGCAAACTCTGGGATGTGTGCACAGCTGAAAGCAGCCCAAGGAGACCTGGCGATACACGTATGTGGTGTCACGGCAGATCCCATGAGCAGAAAACGACATAAAGATGAAAACTAGAGAAATCTGAGTGATCATATTGATGCATCAAGGCAACAAATGATGATACTGCGCCACATGTCACTAACGGGCACGGAGGTACAGGTGTGCAGGGACTCCGCACTGTCCTCACAGCTCTTCCACGAGTCTAAAACCGTCCTAGACAAATGTTATTTTTATAAAGGGGCTAAAGATGAGTGAAGTCATGGCAAATAGCCAGACAAGCACATCACAGGCGGACACAAAGTAGGCGTATGTTCAAGAGGGGCAGGGGGACACAAAGTAGGCGCGTGTTCAAGAGGGGCACGTGGACACAAAGTAGCGTATTTCAAGAGGGGCACGGGACACAAGTAGGCGCGGTGTTCAGAGGAGGCAGGGGACACAAGTAGGCGCGTGTTCACAAGAAGCCGGGGGACACAAGTAGGCGCGTGTTCAAGATGGGCAGGCACAAAGACGAGCGCGTGTTCAGAGGGGCAGGGGACACAAGTGGCGGCGATGTTACATGAGCAGGGGACACAAAGTAGGCGCGTGTTCAAGAGGGGCAGGGGGACACAAAGTAGGCGCGTGTTCAGGGCAGGGCGGGCGCTGTGCCTCACGCTGTTCCTAGCTCTTGCGGAGCGAGGCGGGGGATTGTTCAAGGTCAGGAGTTCCAACCAGCTGCGCTAAGAGCGAGACCCCGTCTCTACTATAATAGAAAGATTATTGGCAACTGATATATATATTTAAAAAATTAGCCGGCATGTCAGGCGCATGCCTGTAGTCCCGCTACACCGGAGGTTGAGGCAGAAGGATCACTCGAGCCAGGAGTTTGAGGTTGCTGTGAGCTAGGCTGACGGCCACGGCATACTCTAGGCCTGGGCAAAGCGGATCTGTTCAAAAAAAAAAAAAAAAAATCAAAAAAAAAAAAAGAGGGCAGGGAAAGGTAGGGGTTTCACGAGGGGAGGGACAAGTTAGGGCGTGGTTCAAGAGGGGCAGGGGCAAAAGTGAGGCGATTTCAGAGGGGCAGGGGACACAAAGTCGGGCGTGTTTCAAGAGGGGAGGGGACCAAGTAGGCACATGGTTCAAGAGGGAGTGGGGACACAAGTAGGCACATGGTTCAAGAGGGGCAGGGGGACAAGTAGGCGCGTGGTTCAAGAGGGGCAGGGGGACACAATGTAGGGCTTGTGTTACGAGGGGCAGGGGCAACAAGTGGGGTGGTTCAAGAGGGCAGGGGAAAGTAGGGGTGTTCAAGAGGCGGGCAGGCACCAAAGTAGGCGCTGTGTTCACGAGAGCAGGGGGACACAGGTAGGACATGGTCTCAAGGAGGGCAGGGGGAACAAGTAGGTGGTTCAAGAGGGCAGGGACCAAAGTAGGCGCATGTTCATGAGGGGCAGGGGGGCACAAGGTAGGCGTTATAGAGGGGCAGGGAACATAGGCACATGGTTCAAGAGGGGGCAGTTTTGGGAAAATAGGCGCGTGGTTCAAGAGGCCGGGACACAAAAGTAGGCGTGTTTCAAGAGGGGCAGCGGGACAAAGTAGGTGCATGTTCAAGGAGGGCAGGACACAAAGTAGGCGGTGTTCAAGAGGAGGGGACCAAGTAGGGCACATGGTTCAACGAGGGGCAGGGACAAAGTAGGCGCGTGGTTAAGGGGGCAGGGGGACACAAAGTAGGCGCGGATGTTCAAGAGGGGCAGGGGGACACAAAGTAGGCGCGTGTTCAAGAGGGGCAGGGCGGGACACAAAGTAGGCGGCGTGTTTCAAGAGGGGCACGGGGACACAAAGTAGGCGCGGGTTCACAGAGGGGAGGGGACCAAGTATGTGCGCCGATGTTTAAGAGGGCAGGGCACAAAAGTGGCGCCGTGTTCAAGAGAGGGGACACAAAGTAGGTGCGTGTTCAAGAGGGGCCGTACACATGTCACTGTAACTTTGGTGAATGTCAAGTTTTTAGGCAGTATTTATGAATTCAGTTTCCACACTGGTCCATTAAACTCTGAGAAGTCAACCAAGGAGAGATAGCAAGGGTTTGTGACAAAGATGACTAGAAGAGCCTTGAACAGGGTGACAGGGAGCCCATGCACTACCTGATCAGCGTTTTCACTGTGGGCTGAGAAGTGCCTCGAGGAGGAGAAGCGAGAGCGAGGTGGACGCGACAGGCTGGAGAGAACAGTGCTGGCGGTGGGGCGCCTGGTCTGCACCCGCTGGAAGGGCCCTGCGCCCCTGAGCATGCGGCTGGCAGTCTCACTCCTGAAATGGGTGTGGGGGCGGGCAGGGCTGGGGGACTGGAGGGGTCACTGTGCCACTCCTTGTCACGCACCAGGCTCTCAGCGAAGCAGTCTCACAGCCACCCTGCAAGGATTTTATTACTGTCCCTGTTTTCCAGATTAGGAAAACCAGGGCCCATAGAGGTCCTGTGAGTGCTCAGAGCCCCATGAGGCCAGTAAGTGGCTGAGCTTACTTTGAACCCTGGGCAAACCTGGGGTCAAAACCGGCTTGAATTTAGAATAAAGTCTACTCTCAATCATCCCACACGCTGCTCTGTCCAAGGGCCCAGCCGTCCCTGGCATTACCTGGGCCCACACTCTCGTCTCGTTAAGGGTATTTGTTGCCCAGTTAAGTCTGGGCCTGGTCTCAAAATACAGCTGCAAATGGGGCGTCTGTCTGCTCCGCCCCGTGGAGCGGGCACCCCCGAGCTTGGGGACAGCAGCTTTCCTGTCTCTCTGTGCTGGCCAGGCACCCTCCCCACACTCCTTAGCTATCCACTGGGATTCCAGCCTGTCTGGCCCTTTTTGCTGTCTTCACTAAGATGACAGGCTTCAGGTGCTTTTTAAATTAAAATGGTTTGTTTCTGTTCATCTCTTTTCCAGATGTCACTACCTAGAAGAAATCTGTCTTTATTTATTGGCTCTTTCCTGTGCAGAATCCAAGGGAGTCTCCCTCCAGCTAAGACCCCTGGCAAGGAGGCCACATGCGGGGAGTGACTTGAACCGGGACGGCAGGAACCGGGGGGCTCTGGGGGGATCAGGGCAGAGGTCAGGTGGAGACCACGGGAGAGGGTTTGCCACGAGGATTTTTCTCCCGGGCACGTGGCCCATGTGCTGCTGAGCTGAGGCGTGTGGCCAGGCCAGCCACACTCCCTGCTGGGCTGGGGGCTGTGCGTTTATGAGGGCAGCCACGGCCCTGTGCTGGCGCCATTCACGTTGCCAGCTGCAGTGAAGTGGTGTTCACTTCCTATTAGACAGTAGACTGACGACTGCCTGACCAACCTCCGGCCAGTTTTGGGGTGACACCCTGAAGTGTCCCCTCCTCCCTTCCCCTGCCCAGACCCAGGCTCTGTCACCTGGTGGTCGCTGCAGCCCCTCTACCCTGTCTTCCGTCTCCACCCTCCTCCTCCATCTGTCCTCCAGCCGCAGCCACACCCCTCCCGCTCCTGCCTCTGCCACGCCAAGTTTCCTGTCTCCCTACAGGATAAAGCCCCGACTGCCTGGTCAGCCGCGGAGCTCTTCCCACGCCTGCCTCCCCGTCCTCCCGGCCTGCCCCTGCTTGCGCTGAACAGCCTCGAGCCCCCGCACTGCCCAGCGCCCTTCTCCGGGCGGCCCTGCTCAGAGCCAGCTCCGTTGGGAAGCCTTCCCTGCCAGACGTGCCCTGCGGAGCAGGCGGAGCGCCAGGCTGCCAGGCGCGCTGAGTCACCCGGGCCCCAAGAGGGTGGAGGCCTGCCCAGGGTGGCGTCCTCAGAGCCCAGCACTAGTCCAGCAGGGCAGGCCCTCGGCGGTGCTGGCTGCCAGACAGAGAGGGAGACGCGAGTGAGGCCGGGGCCAGCTGCGCGGGGACGGGGACGTCTCTGCTCCCAGCCTAGGGCTGGCGCCAGGCCTGCACTCGGGACCCTGGGCAGCGTGCTCTGCTCCTGAGGGTGTGTCCTGCGGCAGCCCTCTCGGCACACGTGAGCTCTGTGCGAAATGAAAGGTCGTGGCGCTCCGGAAGAAGATGAAAAGACTTGGTTCCCTGACAGACATTCCAAGGGGATGATTTCTAAGTCTCTGCATGAGTGTTTCTGTGGGACACTTCCTGAGGCTGCTTTGTGGCGACAGTCCACAGACCCCCCACCAGCTATGAGAGGGTGGAGTTGAGAAGCTCAGAGATGCCCCGAACGCACCCTCACCAAGACCCGAGAGGAACGGCCGCAGGGCTGGGGCAGGAATGTGAGTTGGGCAGGTCGCCCCAGGGAGCGACCATTTCAGTGGGAGAAGCTGCCCTGGGTGTCAGTGGCCACTGCCAAGACAGTGAGTGCCCAGTGCCCTGCCAGTGAGGGCTGCGGAGCCGCGGAGCTGCAGGTGGAGGCACCGTGCTCTGCAGAGAAGCCGGACTCGGTGGGCGAGGCAGAGCTTGTGGGGCAGGGATTCACGTAAGGGCACAGCACAACCAGAACCCATGGAGAGGGAAGGCACAGGCTTTGTTAGAAGGATGGCTCCATATGGCACAGTCAGAGTGTTTATGCACCAGACACATGAAACATGAGGTTGACAGGACAGGCAGACACATGGCGGGCCCATATGACAGGTGTGATCTCAGCCCTGAGACCCCTTGGGGAGCACCGGGTCCCCAGGGAGCCCATCCTCACTGCACCAGGAGCCAGAAGGGCTCAGCGTCCACAGGGCCCCAGCTGCAGGCGCTCCACACCAGGCTGGCCCTGAGAGCCGTGGGCTCTGCTTCTCTGGCTCATGGAATAAGGGCAGTGGCCCTGTCGTCTCCCAGAACCCAAGGGGCGGAATGGGAGCGACCACACATGTCATTTGGACCACACCCCACACCCCGCCACATTCCCCCGCCTTGCTAGTCCCCTTAGTGGCATTCCCACCTCACAACCTGGCCCTGCAACCTTGCTGCTCCCAAGGCTGTGTTTCTGCGAAGCTCTGCAACCTTGCTGCAGGGTCCAGTTGCCACCACCTCCTGAGCAGCCCAGTCCCCTCCTCCAAACTCCTCTGTCCTGCTCACATGGGAGCAAGCCCTCATCTTGTGGATGAAGATGCTGAGGGCAGAGAGGTGGCAGGACTTGGCTGGAGTCCTAGGGGCGGGGTGGTGGGGCTGGGCCTTGCATTCAGGCCTCCGCTTCCCAGACAGGGCCTCTCCCTTGCAGGGTCCACTGCCCGGCTCTGATCCTTTGTCACAGCTCCTGGAGTGCAGAGAACACTGCTAACATCTCTTTGGGGTGTCAGGGTATCCTGAGTGGCAACAAGCCCACAGTGGTGCCCAGCACCTGCAGCAGACAGAATCAGTCCTGCTCAGAGACCATTTCTCCAAGGAGACTGAAGAATGGAGTGGGCGACCTGGCAGGCTCAGGTTGGGGAGCTGCAGGGCCACTGTGGGCCGACGAAAAGAACCTGGCCTGGGGGTCTGGTCCAGGCCTGGCTGGGCTGGCACCAGTGACCTTGGAGATGTGTTCCCCTCTCTGGGCTTTGGGCTCCCCTGGGTCCAAGGGGCTGGAGGAGCTCCCTGATCTTTGGGGCCCCTGCAGCTCTGGCATCCTGTGGCATTAGGCATTGCCAGTGTCCCCAGCAAGGCTCTGGACAGAAATAGAACTGAAAGTGGCCATGTGTTACCCCTTGCTCCTGACAGATCTGGGTCAGTCTCTCCAGCTGCTCGTCTTGGATGACCTTGGCCTTCTCGTACTGCTGGATAACCATCTCCATCTCCACTTTCACTGGCAAGACATAGGCTGGAAGACAAAGACAGCCCTGTGAAGACCTCAGCAGTGGCAGGGCTCAGCCAGTATTCGGCCACCAGCAGGCTGGAGGCCTGTTCCCTGATGATGGGCTGGGGGAGTGGGAGTTGGGGGCAGAGGGCGCAGGTCCAGGCACCAACAGCATCCAGAAAGTACAAAGGGTTACAACCTTGACTCACAGGTCCAAAACAGCTGTGTCCCTTCTTTCCATAGTGACAGAAGCCTCACTTTTGGGCTGTGTGCACAGCTGCTTGGAATAAAGACTATTTTCCAGCTCCCTGGCAGCTGTGCGTGGCCATAGACCACCTCTGGACAACAGGATGCTACTGGAGGTAGAATGTAGTGGCTTCCAGAAGCCTTCCTTTAAAAGTAGCACAACTACTCTGGAAAATGATTTGGCATATGTTAAGCAAAGATTGACCCCGTGACCCAGCAAATCCATTCCTAGCTACTCAAGGGAAATGGAAGCACACCTACACAGACACCTCTACGTGACTGCTCATGGCGGCATCACTCATAATAGCCAAAAAGTGGCAACAACAGAAATGTTCATCGATGGATGAACAGATAAATAAAATGCGGTCTACCCACACCATGGAACACTGCTTGACAGTTCAAAAGAATGAGGTGCTTGTATAGACTGCAACACAGGCCAACCTTGGAAACGTCATGTTAACTGAGAGAAGCCAGACACAAAAGGCCGCATATCATATGATTCCATTATATGCCTTGTCCAGAATAGGCAAAGCTATAGAGATGGAAAATAAGCTAGTATTTGCCTCAGGCTGAGGAGGGAATGGGAAGTGACTGCTGGTAAGGATGGAGTTTCTTTCTGGAGTGATGAAAATGCTCTGAACTTAGATTTCGGTGATGGTTGCGTAACTCTATGAATACACTAAAAACCAATGAATTGTGGACTTTAAATGGGTGGATTTAAATGTGAATTATATCTTAGCAAAGAATTTTAACAAGAAAAAGCAGCAGGGGCTTTATCTTCTTCCTCCCTGCCTCCTTCCTATTGGCTATAATGAGGATGTGATGGTTGGCATTGGAGCAGCCATCTTGGACCAGGAGATGACTCTGAAAAGTAGGCTAAGTGTGTAGAGCAACAACATAGAAGGAAGCTGGGATTTTGACTATCAGAAGTGAGTGCCATATCAGCTTTGGACCACCTACCCATGGACTTTTGTGTGAAAGAAATAAGCTTCTGTTTTGCTTAAGACATGTTATTCTGGGTCTCTGTTACTCAGATGATCCTATTTATAATTGGCACACACAGTGAAACCCAGATGAGAAAAGCTGAACTCTGAGTACAAGATGCTCCAGCAGTCCTGTGGACCCCTCCCTTGGTAGTACTCTGGGCTCCTCTGAAGTCTCAGTATCTGCTTCTGACCTTGACCTGGCCTTGCCCCTCACACTCTTCTCACACCTCTCAGAATCCAGCCCTTCCTGACTCTTTGGAAACCTCCACCACATGCCTCCTGCCATGGCACTCTAGAGCCCTTCCCACCCAGCCTCTAGGCTGCCTCTCCACCCAGAGCCTCCCCACCTCCAGATGCCATCTGGCTATTGCAGAAATCATGCAGAAAATGGAAATCAGGGATTTTCTGTTTGCTTCCAGACTTGAGGGCAGGCCATGTGTCCCTAAGATCCATCTCCAGGCTCAGGGGCTACCCCCAGCTGCTGCCCCCTCAGATCTCTGCTGAAGCCAGTTCATACCAGGGCTAGAGTAGCAAATCAACACCCATCCTTTCACCAGCGGATCTCTGTCATGAGGCTCCTGGTGGCACGACAGTGCCTGACATGTCATGAAAAAGGGGGGACAGCTGGGAAGAGCCTTCAAAATGGGGGCCATCAACCCCATTACTGTAAGAGTATATAGCTGTCTGCAGCTGGCAGAAGGAGCCAGAAGGCACCGTTCCCACCTGGGGAGGGGATGTTCTCACTGTCAGAGCCAAGAACAGGGCCCCAGCAGATGGGGAGGCAAGAACAGCCAAAGAGCATGGGTGGGTCTCAGAGGTCCCGGGCTCCCCTCTCCCCTTCTGGTTCTGAGCCTGATTCACTGTGTGACCCTCATCCCTCTTAACTTCAGTTTCCCCAGTTTCACCCGGCCAGTTGAGGGGAGTGGACTAGATGATCTCCCAGAGCCTTCCTAGCCTCCAAAGCCTTCCAAAGTTGGACCCAAACACACTCCAGTTTGATGACGATTCTGTCTCGGGGCTCTCTGCTGAGTCATCAGCGTGGACCCTAGGACTGAAGCTCACGGGTGGTATGCAGGGGTGGGGGCCAGGGAGGGGTGCCCACCCAGGGACTGGAGACCCTGGAGGACACCCTACCTGCCTTGTACTAGCTGGGCAAATGCTGCTGAAGTTATGGCCACAATTTCTATCATTTGTAGCCAAAATTCAGGGCCAGAAAAGACCCTGGCCTCTATCCGGGTGGTTTGAGAGTCGTGTTTCAGAAGGCTTGGCAGTTCTTCAGAGGGGCCTCAGGGGCAAGGTGAGGGCAAGGAGGTGGGCTCAGGCCCCTCACTGTGAGCCAACCAAATGCTCCACTCTTGGTCTACTTTACACACTGGGCAAGATTTTGTAGAAGAAAAAAAGGCTTTGGAACCATCGTCTGTGTGCCTTCCTGGTCCCTCGGGGAGCCTCTCTTGGAGAGGTCGACCAGCCATCGCGAGCGGCGCTGGGCTGAGTCTGGCTGAGGTGTGGTGGGCCTCCTAGTCAGGGCCCCAGGGGCCAAGGACCACCCTCTGGAGCCCAGCGTCTTCCCTCTTCCCTAAGGAACTTCAGTGCCCTCCCTGTGAGCGCCCTCCCGGCCGCCCCACCCTGGGACCCTGCCCCATTCTTCAGGGACGGGGCTTCCGTCCCTCCCCACCAGGCCTTCCTCCTCTGGGGACGCACAGCGGGCTGGAAGCATGAGAGCCTCCCGGCCAGGACACGGCTCCCTAGGCGAGGGGGCCAGCCGGTCGCACTGTCTCCAGGAAGGAGGCCCGAGGTAGAAGTGCGTGTCACCAAAGGCGAGCGGAACATGGCGGGGACCCAGCCATGCCAGCAGCCCCCACCGCGATGGTCTCTGCCAGTGCGCAGGCCAGCAGGCCGGGCACCGCCTGGCCCTTGGTGGACACAGGTGGGACAGACAGGTGAGGACAGCCAAGATGGCCTGGACAGAGCCAGAGGGGGTTTGCAATCATCGGAGCAGGGACAGGTGTGAGGCAGGACACCGGGGCGTGAAGAACTGCCCTGTCTCGACGGCAGGCCCTGCTGTGAGCACTCACGGGAGGCCGCCCGGCTGTGTCAGGACGAACATGTGACCTCTGACGCGCAGTGGGGCACTCCAGCGTGTGCCGTGACAGCTGAGCGGTGTGCGTGCGGAACAGGACGGCCAATGTGCAGGGCAGCCTCACCTGCACCGTGCTGCGTGGGGCTGTCCCCACAAGGCACGGTCTCTCTGCTCTCGGGGAGCGCTCCAATTTCCAGAGCAGCCCCTGCCCTCCCCCCAGCCCCACCGATCCCTTTTGGGCCACTCACCATCAATGACCCTCTTCACTCGCCAGATCCGGAGCATGATGATGAGGCTGATGGCGTCCCAGGGGCTCCTGGGCCCGTTGGCCACAGTGGATGCCACCATTGGGGCCAAGGACAGGATGATCACAGCCCCGTCAAACACCTGTGGGGGGAGGCATAGCTTAGCATTCAGGGCCGAGACCAGGCAGTGGGTGCTGGCTGACTTCTCCAGGGCCCTGAGCTCCCACAGAAGGTCACCACATATCTGGCCAGCTCTCCTGACCCTCCTCATTCTTTAGGGGTCTCTCCCCTCCTAAATGTGCTTCTGAGCACCCTCTACCCTCCGAATGACCTCAGCCCATCTCCAGCCCTTGGTTCAGAGCGCCTTGGGCAGTCTTGCCCCTTCTCAGAATGGGGCCTGGATCCTGTGTCCCAGGCCCTGGGCAGAGCTGGGCTGAACCCCTCACTGGCAGGGTAGGGGCTGAGGGCAGGAATGGGGTGCATCCTTCCCTGGGGGAGAAGGACCTGGGGCCCACATCTCATCTTTGTCCAGCACAGAGTCCCTGATCCTGCAGAGGCAGGGCTAGGTGAGGAGGCTTACAGCCTGCATGATTTATTAAGCCCTGGCCCTGATCTCCATCTGCCTGCCCCAGTCTGGCCTGCATCCGAGCCTCTCATGGGCCAGGCCCTGTGTGTCAGCTCCTAGCTTGAGCCCAGAGAGGCTAAGATAGCAATGGAGAGGAGAGGAAGCTGTGGTGGCAGTGCTGACCGCCTTGCCTTGGCATGTGCACAAACTGCCAGCAGCAGCCAGGTCTGCCGCATGCCACCCCGCCCTCTGCAGCCCACCCCTGGGGACGCGGAGCAGAGTGGAAACCCAGGCTGAGAAGCGCTTTTACAGTTTCCTGCCCAGCTGCCCGTCTAGAGTGGATTTATTTGTTTTAAAACACATCGTAAGAGCTTTTCAAAGTGATTCAAAAATAAAATTTAAAAGTTTGCAGAACTTCAAGGAGATTGTTTGAGAGTGTCCCTTTGCTGGAAACGGTCTCCGTCGACCCTCCCCAGCCCCCACCCCTTGCCCACTGCAGCCGCTGTGCACAGAGCAAGCAGTTCCCGCATCCAGTGCGGGAAGGAGCCAGCCTTTTTTGATGGCTCCCACCCTCCAATGGATGGGACAGTGACATTTATCAGCTTCCAGGCTGGTTGGGTTGGGGTCTGGGCGTGGACGCTGTTCTTTACCTCTATTTTGTTCTCGATGTAATCCCAGATCCCAAGCACCACGATCCTCAGAACAGTCTGAGGAGAGAAAGAGAAAAGAGGGGACTGTTCTCTAGCCCTGCCCCAGCAGTGAAGACTCCAGAGCTCAGCATGCAGAGCTCTGCTTCCTTGCCCAGTGATTGGGGAAGGCCTCCACCATCTCCTGAGCATTCTCACCCATGTGCCCTCTCCATCCCTAGTGCCAGGGCCCAGCTCCAGAGCCCCCTGCTGGCTCCCAGCCCATCCAGCCCTCTGTGTGCCATCCCTGGGCACCCCAGCACCATCTGTGCCAGTCCTCGCCCAGAACCCTTCAGAGCTGCCGGTACCTAGAGAATACACTCCAAATCCCTTAGAATGATATGCAGGACCCTGCCTCCCTCTCCTATAATTCTTTTCCCCCCACTCCCTTCATGCCCCAAACCACTTAGAAATATTCAAACATTCAAACTCTCTCTCCTACTGCCTTGCCTTTGCAGTCGACTCCCCTTCCAACCCCAAATCTCTTCTCTCCTTCTACAATGATGGAAGCCTTAGCATGGCCACCCAGCTAAAGACTACATTTCCCAGCCTTCCTTAAGTTCAAGAGCAGTCATGTGACTATATTCTGGCCAATAGCTGGTGAGGAGAAGCACTGCATACAACTTCTGGGCTGTGGCCCTAAATGAATTCAGCTCTTTCTTCTCTTTCCCTCTTCCCAAAGACTGGAATGTGGGTGTGTAAGTGTAATGGTGAGCCATCTTCAACTAAGGAGGGTCAGACAACAAGATGGAAGCCTGCCAGGTCCCCACCACCCCAAGCCATCACACCAGCCTTACCTGCTTACCCAACGTGTTCTTCCATGAATGAACAAATGCATGCATGAATGAACAATTCCTAAATGCTGATGCCTTTGGGAGTGGTCTCCTCACCAAGACTGCATCTTTCTCCAAAGAAGCTTCTTAAAAGCTGGTCTTATATGATCCTGGCACATTCCTCTATAGGCTATTCCTTGGGCCAAGATGACTGTAATGCATAGTAATTCACTCCCAGTGCCCCTCTCCTACCTCCCTGTAGTGCAAGACCAGCCTGCTGAACTCAGCCAGGCTGCCACAGTCTGTGGATCATCACCCGTGCCTGTTATGCCGCAAAAAGGCTTAGCTGGTAAAATCTACCTCTTCGTGTAGAGGATCCTGACTTCTGTGAAGGATTAGAAGGCGGGACGCTGGTGGTAGCCAGTCATGCCTCTTCCTTTGAATGCAGAGAAGAACATGTGGCAGCCTGATGTCTACTCCTTTATGGCTCCCCCATCTCTGGACTGGTGGACCCAAGCTTGACTGTAAGACAGCTCCCAGGGGCGGGAAGAGATTTGGTTGGGAGTCCAAGATATCTTGAGGTTACAGCTCAATAATGGGCTGATTTTGTGGCCTTGGGAAAGTCAACTCCCCTCCCAGCACCCCAGTTTCTCCTTTGTCCAGAGAGGAGGGATACACGAAACAACTCCTACCATTATTTATGAGAATAACATCTACCTTCTAGTATATGCCAGTAAGTGCCAGACCCTGAGTCAGCTTCCCTCACTTGTGATTCTCATCTTACTGAGAGGGTCAGAGAGGTTAAGATAGCTGCCCAACATCACACGGGCAATTGGTGATGAAGTCAGGATTATTTGGACCCAGAGGTTTCTGGCTCTGCACAGTGTGCTCAATCTGATCCCTCTAATTGTGCTGAGACTGAAACTTGGCATCTGTCTAGTCTGAAATGCTTCAGTAGCCACATGCACCCCACACTCCCAATTCTGGGGCTTCCAAAGCAAAAAGTCCAGGCTGGGACAGTTGGGAACAGGGCCTGTTCCAAATATGATTTCTGCTGCTGCTCCTCCTCCTCCTTTTAAAACATAACACAAAATACAGCATCTTAACCATTTTGAAGTGTGTTGCTCAGTGGCATTTAGCACACTGACACTGTCCTGCAGCCACCGCCACCATCCACCTCTACAGCTTTTTCCTCTTCCCAGACTGAAGCTCTGCAGCCATAAAGCAGTGACTCCCAGCCTCCCCTCCCCCCAGCCCTGGCAAACGCCATTCTACTTTCTGCGTCTGTGAACTTGACTCCTCTGGGGACCTCACCAAGAAAAGTCATTACGCTTCTTTAAAAACAACACTCTTCTTAGCTGAAAAGGCAGTGAGTGGCCCAGGGTGTGCGGGCTGGGGGACGGGAAGGGAGCTGGCCAGCTGGGTGGCGTAGCCAGCAACGGCCGACAGGGTGGGGGAGGCGCACGGCACACGGAGCCTCTGCTGGGGGGCGGAAGTTTAATAGTTTTATGGGCCACAGTGGGCGGGTGAGCACGAGGGGCAGCTGGAATGCCGCCGCTGCCCTCCTTGCTGGCCTGTCCACACAGGGCCCATCCTCTGAGGCCTGGCTCAAGCCTACCTCCTCTGGGGGCCTTTCCTTCCTCGCCCAGCCACCGGGCCAGAGTGGCAGAAGGCAGCTGTCAGCTGTCAATGGGCTCCGGAAACACCTTTCCCATCTGTAGGGGAAGGCTGGCTCTGAGTCAGGGTCAAAGCCAGAGTGAGAGGCCAGCCCTGAGATGCCCGCTGGGCGCTGGGGCGTGAGGTGGTGCACGGCGCAGGGAGCAGGCTGGCCGAGGGGAACACCCACTGTGGGTACCAGGCACTGGGGCTGGCCCTGCTGCTTCCTCTAGAAGGATCTGCTCTTGGGCAAGTTTTCCCAGAGGCTAAACTAGAACAAGCAAGAGAAAGACATTGATTCCAGGATCTAACTACAGGGCGACTAAGATGTGAGAAATCCTTGTAGGAGCTGAAAACTGTCACCAGTCTTGAACTGGCGAGTAAAAGAAAGGTTTGCCAGATGACAAGTGCCAGTGGAGGGTGATTGCAGGGCTGCACAGGAGCGTCCCTGGGGTTGGGTGTTGGTAAAACAGGAGCGGACCCATCTGCCTCTTTCACGCCTTGATGCTGGCTCCCTCCAAATCCCTCGGGGTGGTGGCTGGTGACCCAAAGAGACTGCCTGCCTCCTCCCAGTGTGGCATCTGCTCTCAGGGTCTAAAGGTGAGGCCCCAGCCAGATACAGCTGCTGATGGGCTCTGGGCTTATGGGCAAACTGACCACTCTGTCTCCTGGTGCCAGGCTCATTCTGGCACCAGGTTCCCAGCTACCGTAACAGGATGGGTGCAAGGCCCTAGGGCGGAGCGGGGGTGGCAGATGCAGAACCAAAGGTGAGTCCATTAAACGACTGACATGGACTGAGTGCTCACAGTGCATGGGGCGCTGTCCTAGACCTGGGGTAAGGAGGAGAGGGGCTGAAATACACAGGATGCTCAAAGCTCACTTCCAGAATTCCTCTTGGCATACGAACATTCTTAAGTCTCCTCTGTTCTAAAATATGTCCCTCACGAGGCCACTGCCCTCTCTCACATTCCCCCAGGCAAAGGTATTGGAAAAAAGTCCGTTTACATGGCCTGCTGCAACTGCGACCTGGCCTTAGCTCCCACTGCTCCAGTGGAACTGCTCACCTTGGCTGCCAGTGACCGCTCCTTGCCAGACCCAGCAGGCGGCACCCTGTGGCTTCTCTGACTGAGGTCAGCAGCATGTGGTGCCATTAAGCGCCTTGCTCGGAAAGGGCTCCTTCTTTTGTCTCCAGGACACCCACACTCTGGGTCTTCCTCCCACCTCCCTGGCTACACGTTCTTGGTCACCTTTGCAGGTTTCTTTTCCTCCGTCCACACCAAAATTGTTTCTCAGGGTTCCAGTTTCTTCTCTCCTCAATTTCCCCCCTGCATGGACAATCTCACTCTTGGCTTCAACTACCAACTGATACTCTGAAATCCACACCTCTGCCAGATTTTTCTCCTGGGCAGCAGTTTCTGGTCAGTGCGAAGGCATCCCCATCCCCTGGTTGACTAAGCCAGACCCCTCCCCGCCCCCCACACAGATCAATTCCCAAGTCCAGCCAAGTTTACCTCCTAATCTCTCTCTGGCTTGTCCCTTTCTCCATTCCAACTCCCAGTTCTCTGGTTCAAACCTGTCCCCTCTCTTAGCTGAGCCATTCCTCTGGAAACTCGTCTCCAAATGCCAGTCTTCCCTCCGCCTCCAGCTCCGCTCTGCACCAGCTGCCAGGGTGATTTCCTTAAAACACCAGCCTCCTCATGCCCCTCTCCTGCTTCAAGCCCCCAAGGACCCCCCGTTGTTATAAGACTGGTTCTAAGTCCAAGCCGCACAATGCCTTTCTTGCCAGCTCTACAAAGTCACTGTTCTAGAATCCCTGACTGGGACCTGTACGTGTCATCTAAATGTAGTGTACAGTCTAACGTTTCAATATGGGATTGTCTATTGCTTCACATGTGTAAATCTTGTCTCTGTAAATGGAATAAAAGCTCACCAGCAGCAGGGAAATAATCTGTCTCTTGACATCCTGACAAATACTCACTAAATCATAGTATTTAAGATAAACAAGTTCCATAGTGAATTAATAAAAAATTCAACTCAATGTATTATCTACTCTTATTTTCACAGTCTCATTTTCCTTACTAGTCAGTCTTAAAATTCATTAACAAAATGTTTTGATTTATTAAAAACATGCGAAGGAAATAGACTGAATCCATCTCTTCTATGAGCCAGCAGGACAGAAGGAGAGCATGGTGCTTTACAGTTAGTTAGCTGGTCTGCTCTGACAGCGTGGCTCCACGAGTGCTGTCGGAATGTGCAGACACTGCAGGATTACTAATAAGATGAAGACACCAAAACTGTGCTTTGCCTTTTGGAATAAAAAATGAAAGTATTTCTCAAAGAATAAAAAAGATTTTTAAAATGTCAGTGAGATAGCTTAATTATGTCCATTGACATTCATTTAGAACAAGTACATACAGACAGTGTTTGCTAAGCATTATGAGCAAAGCCATTTTTATTTGGGTTTATACCATATAAGATATTGCTATCCTAAGTTTCAAAAATTTATTTTAGAAAATCAATGAGGAAGGCAATGAAATCAAAACTATCTATTTGTCCTCTTGACTACAGAGCAACTAAGAAAATAAGAAGGAG